AATAAAATGACGATGCGCTAATAACAAATTGATTGCAAAGTCATCAGCACATCCCTGGTAGTGAAGAGGAAGTGACGTCAGAAAAGAACCCTTTTAAATGATGGGGTGCTAATTGGCTCTAATGTGTCTTCATTATATCGATCTTATTTCGTTGACGTTTTGTTTGCGTTTTGTTTGGCTGGCTGATGCTTGGAATAGGCTAGAGAGGATGGGGCTGTTTTTATTACTATTATGTTGGTATTTTTTATTTGTTTTGTTGCTGTTTAATGTCCTTGTTGTTGTTTTTGTTTGATGACTTCGATGTTGTTGTTGTTTGACGTCTTTGTTGGTGTTTGAGGTTTTTGTTGTTTGTTTGCACGTTTTGTTGTTGTTTTATTGTGGTTGTTGATCTTTTTATTTGTTATTTGAAGATATCTTTCTCTTATTAATTTATTAATAATCTTTATCGTGACAAAAGATATGAAAATTTTTGGTTGCACGAATTTTTAAATGATTCTATCTAACTATCTAGTGGGAGTTTTTTTTGTTTGAGTACGCCACAAAAATGTAAAACAACAAACAACAACAACAACAACTCTAGCAACTACAACAGCACAATTTCGTTGCAAAAAAGTCCCATTAAGCCAAAAAGCTATGAAACAACAATAAAAAACTGAAACAACCACAACTCATCGAACAACTACTACAACAAGATTAACAACAACAACATTAACAACTACACCAACAACAAAAACAGCAGCATCAACAACAACAGCAGCAACAAGATTGATAACAACAACAACTACTACTACAAAGTTAACAACATCAGCAACAACCACAACAAGATAACAAAAACAATAGCAGCTGCAACAACAACAAGATTAACAACAACAACATCAACAACAGCAATACTTGGAAAAACATGGGATAAGTTCTCGCGAAGATAAGGATAAAATGATGATGAATGGCTGGAATAATATTAACATTGATTAATTAACAAAGCATCCTAACCGCTAATGTATAAATAGGAATATACAAATCTATATACAAACATATACAAACACACAAAATAATATAGAGAAAAGAGAAAAAGAGGAAAAAAGAGGGAGAAAGAGAAGAAGAAAAGAGAGAGAGAGAGTATGACAGACAAAAAGGGGGGGGGGCGGAAAAAAGTTACGTAAGACTGAAAATATAATAAATTGCATGTCATCAACGAATCCTTGTTTTGCACAATAATTCATATACATACACAAGCACCCACCCACACATACACCCCCACACACACACACGCACACACACTTAAAAGTTGAAGTACACATATACATAAGTTCTTGTACATCACTCGTCCGCTCATCTTCATCCGGCTGCTAATGGCGGGAATTTGTTTTCTTTGTTTCATAAAATTTAGATATGTCTGATTGTTTGTTCTTTGTTTGTTTGTGTTTTTTGATATTTCGAACTTTATTTTGTCTTTATTATTCATTTCAATGCTTAAGAAGAAACAATCATGTGGTCTGATTTGTTGGTTGATGGTCGAATGATATTATTCTATAATGACAGGATGTCAACGAGCAGCATAAGCTGCTATGCGTTTTTGTTTTAGAAAATATTTTTCAATTAACACCTAATAAAATTTTCGTTATAGTAAAAGTAAGCACGAGCAACAGCAAAACACACAAAAATAATAAAACAACAAAAAAGTGGAACATAAGATCAGAAGTAACTTAGGTAACAATATAAACGACAGCATAAACAAACAACAAACATTCATAGACAAACCGACGCAAAAAAAAAACAAACATAACTTTACCATCACTAATAAACTTAAAAAAGTAAAAAATTTTTTCTTAGAAAATTTAAAAATTTCAATCCAGGGCCTTCATTTTAAAACAATGCGTGGTTGTTACTGCTACAAATGACTGGCATAATTTTGTGAAATCTACAATATTAATGAACAGAAACATCCAAATCAAAGAGTAAGGTAGAAAAAGAAATAGATAGATAGATAGATAGATAGATAGATAGATAGATAGATAGATAGATAGATAGATAGATAGATAGATAGATAGATAGATAGATAGATAGATAGATAGATAGATAGATAGATAGATAGATAGATAGATAGATAGATAGATAGATAGATAGATAGATAGATAGATAGATAGATAGATAGATAGATAGATAGATAGATAGATAGATAGATAGATAGATAGATAGATAGATAGATAGATAGATAGATAGATAGATAGATAGATAGATAGATAGATAGATAGATAGATAGATAGATAGATAGATAGATAGATAGATAGATAGATAGATAGATAGATAGATAGATAGATAGATAGATAGATAGATAGATAGATAGATAGACAGATAGACAGATAGACAGATAGACAGACAGACAGACAGACAGACAGACAGACAGATAGATAGATAGATAGAGAAAAAAAGAGAAAAAGAGAGAGAGAAAGAGAAAGAGAGAGAAAGAAAGATAGAGAAACAACTTAGACAACATAAATACAACGAAATCACAAATATCAAATTACAACTTGGAAATTTTTGTCACATTTCAATAACCAGTCTAGACCAGTCTAATAATTTTTACTGAATTTCATTCAGCCAGGGATGGAAAGAGAGAATACGATAGAGAAAAAAAGATAAAGAAAAAGTAAAAAAAGAGAAAGAGAGAGAGAGAAAGAGAGAGAGAAAGACAAGAATGCGGAAAGCAAAGTAAGGAAGATATATGAAAAAAACGGGATAAAAGAAAGAATTGAAAAAAAAGAGAGAGAGTGAATGAGGAAAAAGAAAAAAATAGAGAGGGAAGAAATTGAGAAAGAAAAAAAGTAAAGAAGAAGAAGTAGATGGAAGATACTGAGATCAAAATGAGAAAAAATTACAAAAGAAGAGAGAGTAGATTGAAAGAAAGAAGACGAAAAATAAAATGAAGATGAAAAAAGTAAGAAAAAAAAATAAAGAGACAGACAGACAGACAGAGAGAAAGACAGAGAATTCAAAAGCAACAAAAGAAGGAACAAAAGCAAGACAGAGAGAGAGAGAGAGATATTGATGAGAAAGTGAGAGCCGTTTTATAAGAACGGCGGCCACACTCACGATCTGTGGCGAAACAATCGGCGATTCGTTCGGACAAAATCATAAATAGCTTCGTAATTCCTTGCTTCTCTGCATGTGACACTTCAATTATAATTTCCTATAAATTACATTTAATAAAAAAATAATATGTGTAATAATAATAATAATATAATAACAATAATAACAATAAAACAATAATAATAACAACAACAATAATAATAATAATAATAGCATACAATAACTTATTAACATAAAAAAAAACTTTATATTCATTTAAATAATATTAAAGTTAATATAATATTAAAATATTGAAAATTAATGACAACAAGCAAAATTTTAAGTTTAAAATAATAATATTATGAATATTTAATTAACTAATTAATCAATCCATTAATAAGTTACTTAATTGAACTGCCATTGTTCACTTCGCTCGCGCGCTGAAAAAAGGTTGGACTGAATTTTTAAAATTTATTACTACAATACAAATATACATAATGACGATAGATTTGAAAATGCTACTACTACCATTTAAATTTTAAAAACAAATTGAAAATACTTGAAACGACTACAAAAATTTACAAATATTTAGATTTAGTGAGACATATTTGTAACGAATTATAACATTTGACTTGAATCAAAATAAACTTCCAAAGATTTTATTAGCAAAGTTTATGAACGGACGATTAGTTAACGTACAGCCGACGTATCGTATGTCTGTTTTGGTGATGTTGTTGATGTTGTTGTTTGGTTTTTTTGGTTTTTTTGTTCTTTGTTTTTTATTGATTTTGTTGTTGATGTTGTTTTGTTCTAGGTTTTGATGTGTGTTGTTTCGGCGTTGTAATTGTTTTTTCTTTGTTTTGGTATTATTTGTTTTTCGTTGCTGTTGTTGTCATTCGTTCTTTGTTGTTGTTCGATTTTTATTCTTCGTTTATTTTTGTAAATGTACTTCCGTAGCAAAATAGATACTTGAAGCGTCCGGTTTTAAATGAAGAAATTTGTATTGTTCATTTACAACAATAAACAACCTTTGATGACCATTATCTTGTTCTTATCGCTGTTGTGGTTGTTGCTGCTGCTGCTGCTGATGAGGATGGGGTTGATGATGATGATGATGTTGTTGTTGTTGTTGTTGATGATGATGATGATGATATTGTTGTTGATGATGATGTTGTTGTTGGTAGTAGCTAGAAGTAATAGTAGACAACCACTACTTCTACTACTACTACTACTTCTTCTACTACTACTACTACTACTACTACTACTACTACTACTACATCTACGACTGCTACTACTACGACTACTACTACTACTGCTACTACTACAACTAATACTACTACGACTGCTACTACTACAACTACTACTACGACTACTACTACTGCAACTACTACTATTACTTACCACTACTACAATAACTACTACAATTATTTATGAAATAACTTATTTTCATTTTTTTAAATTTTGCCAAAAACTTAAATTTATTTAAACTTATTTCATGATTTAAATTTAAACAAAGAAATACATCTATTGATCACATATATCTTAATAAGACAAATTAGAATAAATAATAATTTTTCTAAAAATGAATTATTATGTATGTATGTCATGATTTATTAGTTCAGACAATTTGAAAAGAATTAACGCCAATATGAATGGGAGAATACAAAATTTTTTCTGTAACCAGACAACAACAACAACAACAACAATAGTAATAACAACGACAAAAGCAACAACAGCAACAATCACAACAACAAAAATTGCAACAGTTCTGACAACAACAACATCAGCAGCAGCAGCAACTACAGCAACATTAACTATGGCCCAAGTGACGACACTAACAACTGAAACATCAATGACAATAGCAACAACAACATTGGCATACAGGACATTAACAATGAAAACCAACGCGAACAAAAGCATTAACCCACTCAACAATGACGTCATCGTCAACAACATCAACATTAACAACAACAATAATAACAACATTAACAACAAAATTATCAACAACAACACCAACAACAATTATACCGACAACGATTTCAAAAACAAGATGAACATCCTCACAGCCAACGCAATAAACAACAAGAACAACAATAATAATAACAAAAGCAACAGCAACAACAACAACAACATCAGATGTACCTTCATCCACATCTTCCTCCTCGTAGTTCTAATGACGTCATCGTCGCCATGTTTGGCGGCCATATTGGGATGCATGGAGGGTAGGATGAGATGTCTGGAGATGGAAGAGTGCGGTCACGTGCTCACGTCCGTTGACCGTGTGTGTGATCAATCCAGTTAGTGGATAGACGGATGAATGGATGAATGAATGAATAATTAGATGGATGAATGGCCGGTAAATGGGTGGTTGAATGGGTGAATGAATAGATGAAATACAAATAACAGAATGAATGGATGGATAGAGAGTTAGTGAAAGTGAGGATAGATGGATGGAGAGAATGAGGATAAAATGAATAATATAAAAGATAGATGGAAAAATGGATGGATAGATGGACAGGTAGTTGTACGGATGAATGGTAAGAATTATTTATGAAAAAATTTATTGGTGAAACACAGGAGCAGAAAGCTGATTGATGCAAGTTTAGATTAGCATACAAATGATTAGTTGATGGATGGATGGGTGAATGGATGAATAAATGAAAAAATGAATGAATGAAATGTCTGATTTGATAAATATATTAACGAATGAAAAAGAATAAATTAATTCGAACAAATGTGATTGATACATGAACGAATGAAAAAACGAATAAATAACAAAAATGAATGAATGAACATTGAATGAACGGATTAATTCATCCATCCATCCATCCATTTATTCATTCATAGCTATAATCTATAATAAATAATAATTAATTAATATAGATAATATATTATTGTTATTATTATTATTATTTTCAGGATTTTTGTATTATTTCACTTAAGCGTTAAATGAAGCGTTTTATAAGCAACTCAAGGACTATCAATCGAATGGTCTGCAGATGTTGTTGTTGTAAAACTGTTATTGCTACTACTACTACTACTTCTGCTGCTGCTGCTGCTACTACTACTGTTACTGTAGTAGTAGTGGCAGTAGCAGCAACAGCAGTAGCAGTAGTAGTAATAATAGTAGTTGTTGTTTTTCAATTTCCAAAAAACAATCATCTATCGGCTGTACGGGTTTGTGCTTATTTCTTTATTGAAACTGTTCATAACTGTACATTTTGAAATTAAAAAACCTGCAAACATTTATTTACAAACAAACAAACGAACGAACGAACAAACAAACAAGCGAACAAACGAAAACTAACCAGCCCAATAACCACAACGACAGCTTGAGAAAAAAAACTTCAAACTTAGCTAAAAATATTAAGTAATTGTATTTGCAAAATACAAAAAATAAACACACACACACACAGAAACACACACACAGAAACACACACACACACATATATAAATATATAAATATATATACATATATATTCGATTTAGACTGTCAGAAATGTAATCATTTACGAACGAACATCCCAGCATGTTCCGCGTTAGTTACCTTCCTGATTAATTTTTCTAACAATGGATTGTATATCATTGATAAATTATATATATATATATATATATACACAGTGTACAAAGTACACACACACACACACAAGCACACACACACATACACACACACACACACACACACATATATATATATATATATATATATATATAGGTAAAAGATAGACCCAATGTGGGTCCCGAGTGTATTTGTTTTATCCTCTATTAATTTTCTATTGTTGTATTTTCAACCAGGTTTAATTTTTGTCCAGTTTTGGAAAAATTCAGTTTATTTTTTCATGTTTTGCGTAATTTTGTAAAATTATGTATCTTCATTTTGATACCAATGTATCTCTTTTGTATCATTTGTGTTGTTTTTGTAAAATTCATGTGCCGTTCTGTGTCAATCAGTATTATATATGCATATCTTTTGTACAGTTGTATTGTTTTAGAATCATTTGGAATCATTTTGCATAAATTTTGTATAGTTATGTATCATTTTTGTATCAATTTGTATCATTTTGGTATCAATATGTATCATTTTTGTATATTATTTGCAACAATTTCTGTACCTTCATCTTAATTTTTTCATCGTTTCGCATATTTGTATATCATTGTATCATATTTTCACCAATTTTAAATCATTTTTGTATCATCTATGTATTTGCAATTTAAACATTCTCAGGCCTTAAACTCTTATCTTTCAAATATATGAGCGTTTTTAAAATTGGCTCGTGTATACTTTTGGTATAAATTATTTTTTTTTGCAGACAGTTTCGAATTTTTTGAATTTTCCATCTAAACGATGTCTCTACAATTATTTTTTTGAGTTTTATATCTTCGTATGTGTAAAAACTAAAAGTAAACATATACATAGACACTAAATTAACTTATATATAAACATACATACATACATACATACATACATACATACATACATACATACATACATACATACATACATACATACATACATACATACATACATACATACATACATACATACATACATACATACATACATACATACCAACACACATTTGTAATTGTTTAAACGTTTAAGTACGCATATACAACATGTTTTTATGTTTGTATAAACGCCACACGACCAATCAAACTTATCAGAAAGTTCCATCAGAAAGTAATAAAATGAATTTTCTTGCCGAGAAAAATTATTTTTTCTTAGTTATCAATCTCGATGATCTTGTCGTTGTCGTTGTTGCTGCTGTTGTTGGTGGTAGTGTTAGGAATATTAATGTTATTGATGATGTGATTGTAGTTGTTGACGTCATTAATGTTATTGAAAGCCAACGAAATTCAGTCATTAATCAGTGTAGCAACAACTACAACAACAACAACCGCAACAACAACAACAAAACACAACAACAACAACAGTAGCGACAACAGTAACAACAACAGAAACAACAACAACAAAACCAACAACAACAACAAAATACAGAAATACTCGATCGACGTGTTTCGAAAATAACATACCGACAAAATCAATGCGATAAATACCGATTCGTTAGAAAAAAGATGCCCAACTCGAGGGAAATAACGAAATAATAAAAAAAATTATTCGTGATAATAGTAATAAAAAAGCAATGACAAAAATTAATATCTTGCTATAAACAATAAATTAAATTTTATATTAATTTTTTGACTAAATTAAATAAACATAAATAATAATATTTTTAAAAAAATATACAACAAATATACAACAAATATACCAAACATATACAAATTATTATATTAATTATGCAACTTTTATACAAATGTCAATACTGAACAAAAAAAACTAGTACACAAAATATACAAACCACAAAATACAAAAACCAGTGTGTATGTATGAGTTTGTACGCAAAACAAAATATGTGCTAGTATTCAATTAAAAAAGTGCGTTCTTATTTATGTTTGTGTCTGTTCGTTTGTATGTATATGTGTATGTATGTATTGTTTGTGAGAGTGTATATGTGACTGTGTGAGTATGTCTGTGTGTCTATACATACTATGTTATGTATGTTTATATGACGAATAAAGTATTAGCGTCAGTAAATGGATGATTTTGGGTGATTTTGTGTATGACTTTGTCTATTTTGTGTGTGTGTGTAAAAGTGTGTAAATACGTGTGTGTGTTGTGTGTGTATGTCTGAGTGTGCGTGCCTGTGTGTGTCTGTATGTGTGAATAGATGCGTGTACGTGTAACTATGCGCGCTTGTGCGTGTGCATTATACTCGAGAATAAGCTCAATAAATCGAAGTCCGCCTGATAACCTACAACTAAATCAATTGGTCGTCGACACAACAGCAATAACAACAACAACAACACCAATAACAACAACACCAATAACAATAATAATACTAATAAGAAGACAAAGAAGAAGAAGAAGAAAGAGAAGAAAGGGAAAAATGGCAATAATAATGACAAAGCATTTTTTTCGAACAACATAAAGAACGAAAACATCATCAAGTTAATCTGCATGGCGACATCTACAAACACATTAATATCGTCAAAAGAGGAAGAAAAATACAAATGATAATAATAATAAATAATAATAATAATAATAACAATAATAATCAACGAGTATAAGATAAGCCAAGAGAAAAAAATAACAACAATGAAAAAAAACTGCATTTCGATTCTATTAAGATAACGATTATTGGTAAGAGGTAACATACCAAAATAATTGTTGCCCGGGTTCAGATGTCAAAGTTCAGAGTTCAAGAGTTCACGAGACGATGCTATTTTGAAAGCGGGGGGGTTACAACATGGCGGCAATAAAATATGGCCGCCGATGCGGTTTTTTTGGACTGTCTCTCTACTTTTAGAGATCTGAGTTATTAGTTGATTGAAGGAATGAAAGAATGGATGGATAAAAAAATGAAAAGGAAATGAATGAATGAATAAATGAATGAATGAATAAATGGATGAATAAATGGATGAATAAATGGATGAATAAATGGATGAATCAACAAACGAGCAAACGAACAAACGAACCAACGAAAAAACGGATGAATGAAACGAGTAAATGATTGTAAGTAAGCGTGTATCTACGCATCGGAAGTTACTTGATGTAGGTGGGAACTTCATTGCGTTCGAGCCAGGTTACTGCAAGAGGCGATGCCAGGCGCCTTACCCATTACACCATCATGTCGCCCAACATCATCATCTTTTTCATCATCATCTTAATCAGCCTGGTCAGCATAATCAGCTTCATCATCATCCTTTATTCAATTTTTCAATTTTTTTTCTTCTCTGTGAAAGTAATTTTGTCGCCTTTTTATAGAAAATGTTGACCGGACTAATTGAATGGTCGTGACTGAACTATGGCTATGTTGATAATGTGTGTTGTGGTGCTGTTTGTGTTTGTTTGTTTGTGTTTGTGTGTTTGTGTTTGTTTGTCTGCTTTCTTGTTTGCTGTTGATGGTTTTGTCTGTTGTTTTATGTGTTTATGTTATTGTTTTGTTTGTTTGTAGTTTTGCTGTTGTATTGTACGCAATGACGTTTATTAACACTACTTTGTTAGTTGTATGCGCAATTTGTTTGTTCGTGTATTTGTGTGGTTTTATGTTTGTTTGTGTGTTTTTATGTTTGTTTGTCTGTGTTTGTCGTTGTTTGTATTTGCGTTTGTTTGTTTACGCTGTTGTTGTTTAATGTTTTTGTTGTATATTTTTTATGTTTCGTTTTTTGTGTTTTTTTTTGTTGTTGTTTATAGCTGTTGCAGCTGTGTGTATTGTTAGGATATGGGCGGTCGTTTGTGTTAATTGGGGTAGTTTGTTGCTGTTGTTGTTGTTGTGTTGTTGTTGTTGTTGCGTTGTTGATGTTGAGGCGTTGTTTTTGTTGTGTTGTTGTTGTTTCTTATTTTGTTGTTGTTCGCGTTTTAGTGTCTGTGTTTTTGTTGCCTATGTTTTGTTAGTGTTGTTAGTTATCTTCATAATGGTAATGAGGATGATGATGATGATGATGGTGATAATAATGATGATGATGATGTTAATGATGATGGGGGTGCTGGTGGTGCTGATGATGATGACGAAGACAAGGGCGGAGAAAATGGTGAAACCCTAAAAGGGTACAAATATATCCAATAACAACGACGTACAACGTTCTTAGCATACACATGCCTATAACAACGTACACACGCATGTGTACAACACCTCTACATACAAACCTTCACATACACACATACTCATATACAATATTAACGCACATATATAACGCGCTAATACATAAACATTGCATGCATAAGTACGTTTATACACACACATACACACACACTCTCACACATGCAACATCCATTCACACATGCGTTTACAGCGTACATACACGTACACACACATACATGTTATACACATAATGTGTAGTAGTGAAGTACACAGGCATATGACATACCCTTTCAGTTTGATTTCCCATGCATTAAAAAACTCAGGTCAGCTTGTAACCGTTGTAAAACAATTGCACTTGAGTTGTGTGACGCTACTGCCGTCGCTACCAATGCTGCTTCTCCAGCCGCTGCCAGTGCTGCTGCTGCTGCCAATGGTGATGAGGGTGATGATAGCTTCGTTTATGAAGATGTTGTTGCTGTTGTTGTATTTTTTTATTCAATGTTGTATATTTTGTATCTAGTGTGGTATTATTTTCATTTGATGTTACGCTTTTTGTTGCTTGTATTTCCTGTATTAACTGACTTTGTATCATTTGTGGCTGAGGTTTGTGTGTCTTCTTTTTGATGTTTTATTCTTGGTATCTATTGTTTGTATGTTTTGTACTGGATGTTTAAATGTTTCGTATTTGATGTTTGTATATTTTGGTATCTGGTGTTTGTATATTTTGCATCTGATGTTGTATTTTTTTGTTGTATTTTTTGTTGAACCATTTTAGTATGTTGATGTCACAATAATGGAATTTTTCATCCTCTGTAAAAACAAAACTTCAGACCATCAGAAAAATATCAACGAACGACGTTATATACCTTTTTTTAGTTTTTTTACGTCATTGTTTGTTTGTGTTTGTTTTTTGTATGTTTTTTGGTTGTTTTTATCTGCATGTATATTTTTTGCTTGCATTTATGTAGCAAAAAAGTTTTTCTTTATTTTTTTTCTCATCAAAACTAGAACAAAAAGTTTTGTTTAAATTTTTTTTACATCTAATAATTGAAAGAAAAATGTATAGAAAAAAAAACAACAAACAATACAAAGCAACATTGTATAAACATTGTTTGTAAAACAATCTTTGTATTTATCAAAGTTGCATTTTTGAAAAATACAAAACAATGCAAAAAAAACAAAAAAAAATAATGTCATTGAATTCTCTTAAATGGATTACTTAACGGCAAGAAAAATTAACTCATGATCATCATTGTTGTCCGTGTCATTAGCGTTGGAGAGAAAGAGAGAGAGAGAGAGAGAGAGAGAGAGAGAGAGAGAGAGAGAGTAGTAGAAATGAAAAGAGTGTGTTTGTGTGTATGTGTATAGTTTAAAGTTAAAAGTTTTAAGGTGTTAAATCATTATCATTTGAATGTAGAAACATTTGGCCGCAGTCTTTATATGTTTATATAATGTTAGACTGTATGGTAAAAACATCATAATAAAAAATTGGATGTAACAAGACACACGCACACACCACACACGTACACACACACACATTTACATACACGCACACACTCACACACATATATATATATATTTTTATAGTTATATAATGTTATACACCACTAAAAACTTATTTGATTATATAGAGACGTTAATTAGCATCACAAAAATAGTTTTTTAAAACGAAATTTCGCCAAGAAATTTTCTAAACTTCATCCCATGTGGAAATTTTTTTAAAAACAAAAATATATAAACACAATTAGTGACAGCGATTTAAATTTTTTCCTACCCAATTTATACAACTATTTGTCTCACATAAAAAAAATACAGAGAACCAAAAAAAAAAAAACATTAAACGAGAGAATGCAACAAAGTACACAAAATACCTACCTAATACAACCTAATACAAAAACCAAACAGCGTAGAAAAAATAACGCAAAGAAACATAACACGAGTAAAAACAAAGAACAAACAGCATAAGATGTCCGAAACCCGATATCCTTTCGACAACCGGTAATGTAACAACAAGTATTCGCCGAGTACTGCACTCACAAACAATGGTACATCACTTCTCTTGTATTTATTCGTGTTACTTGTTGCGTATTCTGTGTAGTGTATTGTGTTTTTTTTTGTATCATGTGTTTTAATTATGTGAAATTAAATGATTTTTCATATTTGTCCTTTTTTTGTTTGTTTATTTACGTGCGTGTATGCGTATGTATGTTTGTGTATGTTTGTATGTATGTATGTGTATGTTTGTATGTATGTATGTGTATGTTTGTATGTATGTGTGCGTGTGTGTGGTGTGTGTAAACTACTCAAAACGTGACATGTAATGTTGATATCAAATCAGATAAAAGTTCGTAGAATGTATGTTAGTTTGTCTTCTTTAGTACTTTAGCTACAAAAACTAACATTATTCTCCTGTTCTCTTTCTCTCTCTCTCTCTCTCTCTCTTTTACTCTTATTTTCTCTCTTCCTTTTTCA